GATAAACTTAAAAACACACATCTTATATTGATTTAATTTATTTAAAAAAAATTTAAATATTAACTTAAAATTTTAAATTCTAAACTTAATTTATAAAATGATACTTATTTACTAATAAATTAAATTTTCATATGTCAAAATTATTTATGTTTGTTTAATATATTCTCCATCCTGCCATAATTTGACAATGACATGGCTTTTTTGGCATTACAAATCCGGCAATCGCCCCCCTTTTTTTTAATGAAAATATTAAATTATTGAATTAAGCTTAATTTTGGAAGATTATCTGTCAACTTAATTTTAACACCCATAACTTCAACTCTGTACCCATTTGCCTAGTGCACATATATCTGGAGTTGAAGTGATTCCAAAAATGTCTCATTCAGTCTCATTTTAATACCTATATTATATTTTGGTCCATCAGACTTCTGAAATTCAAACATTATGTTACAGCTTGTTCTTTCTTCTGCAACAGCTCATTCTTAACAACGTAAATGTCTCGTCTTATTTCTATCTCTGCCAGATTCTATAATAATTCCTTCTGACAACCTTTTTCCAGATAGAAACACAAAGATTCGTAAGATAGTATAGTTGTTGAGATCTTGGTTCATGATTTTTCGAGCTCAAATGGGATATGCAACATCTTCTTTTATGATCTGTGTCCCTGTTTTCTTAGTCACCAAAGATTTGGTATTTTTTTGGACTTTGTCTACTGATTGCGTTCTTGATATCAGAAATTCCACCTTCAGAAACAAATTCAACAGTGGAATATACAAGTGGGCCGGATTTATCAATAAGAAATCATGTTGTGGAGGAGCTTTTGATGAGTACCTCTATGCATTGGGGCGGCAGGCCAATCTTACTGGAGGCATGTACTTGAATTTGACTGAGGAAGAAAACTGCATGACACTGATGAGAAATGTTTCAGGCTGTGGCATTGAGAGGTTAACCAGTGGACCAGGCGGCTGCTCAAACTACACTGTTTCAGATGTTGTCAACAAGCTTGGAGATGGATTCGGAAACTTCCACAATGACTGTAAGAACTTGGGCTCCAGGAGCAGACAGGACCAGTCTTGCAGCGCCAATCTGAGAAGGTAAGAAG